ATAAGAAAAATTGCATTCTAATATCAGTTGGTGCAGAAAAACATGACAATTATTCATGATAAAACTCTTGAAACAAATATATACAATAAACCTACAACTAAACCAATAATTTCTTTAAATACATGACATTCTCCAATTAAAAGACATAGATTGATTAGATACAAAACAAGACCCAAATATATGTTACTAATAATACTTAATCTATAAGGGTAAGAATAGACTAGAAATGAAAAGCTGGAATAAGATATTCTGTGCAAATGGAACCCAAAAGTAATCAGGAATAGCCATACTTATATCAGATAAAATATGCTTTAAATCAAAAACAGCAAAAAGAGATAATGAAGGTCATTAATGATAAAGGGGTATATTCAGCAGGAGGAAATAATTCTAAATATATATGCACTGAATATTACAGCACCCAACTACATACAGCAAATAGTAAGAGACCTAAAGAGAGACATAGACTCAAATATAATAATAGTGGAGTGCTTTAACACTCCACTTTCAGCAATGTACAGATCACAGATTGTCCAGATAGAAAGTAAACAGAGAAATGTCAGTTAAATTGCACCTGAGACCAAGTCATCCTAACAGAAATCTACAGAACATTCCATCCAACAGCTGCATCATATACAGTCTTCTCATTAGCACATGGAACATTCTCCAGGATAGATCATATGATAGGCTACAAAGCAAGTCTGAACAAGTTTCAACTTCAATTTAAACCTCATATCAAGTGGGTCTTAAATATGAAATTTTTTTAGAATGAAAATCTTTGGGATGTGAGGTTAGGCAGAGTTTTGACTTAGAACCAAAAGCATGAGCCATAAAAGGAAATAATGAAATTGAGCCTTATCAAAATTAACAAAAATCTTTGCTTTGTTAAATTCAATGTGAATTACAGAGTTGGGAAAATATTTGCCAGTCACAGATCTGATAAGGGAATAATATTTACGTGAGTTAATTCTTTAACTGGCATTGTAACTCATGGGTAACTTAATTCAGGGTTCTCCCTTGATCTAAATTGGATGACCCAGGAAATATAAGCTCTAAATCCATTAAAAGGTCTTTGTTAAGAGTTTATTTGTATTTGGTAGTGTTGTCTTCCTCCACTAGGTTTCATTATCATAAACAAACTTTATTTTTAGAGCAGTTTTAGGTTCAAAATTGAGGAGAAATTACAGAGCTCTAACATACATACTCTCCCTCTTCACACATGTACAACCTTCCTCACTATTAATAGTCCCCCATTGCAGAGCTACATTTGTTACAATCAATGAACACATCATTAGTTTCCAAATTCCTTAGAATTTGCTCTTGATGTTATACATTTTATGAGTTTTAACAAATATATAATGATATGTATACACTACCATTGTGTCATAAAGAACAGTTTCACTTCTCTAAAAGTCTTATGTGTTCTTTCTGTTCATTGCTCCTTACCTCCTAACCCTTAGCAACCAGTGATCTTTTTACTGACTCCATAGTTTTGACCTCTCCAGAATGCCATATAGTTAGAATGATACAATGTGAAGTCTTTTTAGATTGGGTCCTTTCATTTAGTAATATGCACTTCAGGTTCTTTTTTCCATAGTTGGATAGCTTGTTTCTTTTTAGCATTAAAAATTTTTCCAGTGTCTACATATCCCACAGTTTATTCATTCATTTACTGAAGGACTTCTTGGTTGCTTCTATCAAAGCCGCAATAAACATCTGTGAATATTTTTGTCATAAGAATACTTAACCTAAGGTCTACAAACCAGTTTGTTAATAATAGGTACTATGCTGTACAGTAGATCTCTAAGACTTATTCATCTTCAGCAACCAAAACTTGACCAATACTGCCTGGTTTATCCCTCTCCCCAGTTCCAGGGAACCACCATTCACTCTCCGCTTTTACGAGTTTGCCCATTTTAGATTAAGTGACATAATGTAATATTTGTCCTTTGTCTGGCTTATTTCACTTAACATGTGTTCCAGTTTCACTCATGCTGTCATATATTGCAAGATTTCTTTCTCTTTTAAGGCTGAAGAAGTACTTGAGGTGTTGCATAAGTGGCAAAGCTCCTGCCTAGCAAGTATGAAGCTTTAAGTTCAAACCCCAGTACTGCCAAATAAAAAGACTGAATAATATTCCATTGTATGTGCAGACCACATTTCCTTTTTCTACTTATCTATTGACTGGCATTTATGTTGCTTCCATGCCTTGGCTACTGTCAGTAATGCTGCAATGAACATGTGAGTGCAGATACCTCTTCTATATATGGATTTCAAAGACCTACCTTATGACCCTTGGGCCAAAAGTGGCCCAAGATACCACTCTTGGGCATATATCCAAGAGAAATACCTGCACACCCATGCTTATTGCAGCACTATTCACAATAGCCAAGCCATGGAATCAGCTCAGGTGGCCAATAACTGATGGATGGATAAAGAAAATGTGGAATATATATATACACAATGAAGTATTATTCGCTATAAAGAAGAATGAAATTATGTGGTTTGCAGAAAAATAGGAAAAACTGGAGATCAACATAATCATGAGCAAGTGATAAGCCAAGCCCAGAAAGCCAAATATTCACATTTTCTCTCATATGATGAATCTACACCTAAAATGATAATAATAGGACATGAGTTCAAAAGGAGGACTGTCTGGGGGTGTGGAATCAACAAATTTTAAAAATATGTATTTCAATCCCTTTGGATAACCCAGAAGTGGGATTGCTGATCATATTTGTATGCATAGTGGAGCTGAGGTGTTAAGACAGAAGCATCTGTGGATCTGAAATAGAGTGATGTTTGTATCCCCAACATTCATCACAGTTTCTGGTACTGAATGGCTGCTCAATAAATATGTGTTGAATGAATGTGTGAAAAAAGGATCTTAGCACTTTCTGAAAAAAGTGTATAATAATTTTTTAAAAAATTATTTTGACAAAAATAAAGTGACCTTTATCTCCTATTTATGACAGGTTCTTTAATGAAAATGTAAAAACAAAACAAAACAAAACAAAACCCAGAGACCTGGGTGGAAGTCATATCTTAACTTCTACATCATATAGGAATGCATTGTACCAATAGTGCTAATTACCATTCTTTGGAGTCAACCCTAAATTTGTTTGATTTAGTTTCTGAACTTTTTTCCACTCCCTCTCTTCCACTTCCTTCCTCCTACCCCTATTTCTCCTCTTTCTTCTCTTATTTCCCTCTTTTCATCTCTTCACTTCTCCCTTTTCTTCTTTATTGCTCCACTCTCCTTTGTCCTTTACTCTTCTTTCTTTTTGCCCCTTTACATAAGACAATTGGGGTTGGTGGAGTGGCTCAAGAGGTAAGAACGCCTGCCTAGCAAGCATGGAAATGGAATTCAAACTCCAGTACAGCAAAACAAAACAAAACAAAACAAAAAAATAAAAACCAAACCAAAACACTAGACAACTCAAACTCCTTATGAAACTTGAGCGCGGTAGTGAGAATGTGCAGACAAATGCAGCCGATGAAGTTGCTATAGGCCAGGTCTTCACATTATGTTGACACCCTTTTTCCTTGAGTTATACCAGGATTTTAAAGCAAATAGCCTTCTGTGATTTGAGCTGTAAAAAGATACATCATGCAGCAGGGAGGAAGGATGAATGGTTTGGGGGACTGGAAAAGGAAAACTGGCAGCAGCAGGGAGACGTAGAATTTTTATAAACAACACGTTAAAGGAATAATTTAGTTGGTAAAGCCTTGGGAAGGGGGAGGTCATGGCGGTAAACCGACACATCTGAAAGCTGATTTTATAAAGCAAGCACATATTATATACATTGAATGTTAGGGGGTTGAGATGCGTTGATTAAAGTTATTCTATCCACTCCCCATCCATTTAGAACCGCCACTGTATGAAAATCACGTAGGAGGTTACTGCGATTATTCAGGCCAGAGATGAGGACACCAGAAACAAAACTGCAGAATTACAGGAAGAAGTGGACACATTGTAAAGAACAAACCAGCTATGTTGCTTTCACTGACTTGTATTGTGGGCGGAATCTAAAGTGACTTCCTGATTTGAGACTCAAGGTCTTTCACAGATATGAAAGCTAGAATAAGAGCCTATTTGTGGTGGTTGGTGAGGGTGGATGTAGCAGATTAGCAAATAATAGGGGAAGAAAGTGGGTCATCAAAAGAGAATAACTTTTTCTTGAGGTACGGAAGTTGTGGGGAGAAAGGGTCATACAGGACCTTAAGTGGGAAGTTTCAGTGCAGTTTTCCCCTTTTTTCCTTTCCTTATCAAAGTAATATTATGCACATGGATATACCATGTATGTATATATTACATATATCTGCTGTATTTGTATATAACATATAGTACAGTAGGGTTTAAGATGACAAGTAATAGTCTCTGCCCTGCTTTTGAATTCCTTGGAGAATTGTTTTCTGGCCAGTCTCTATATCCAAATACATTATGCATATGTTACCCATACTGAACTCCATAAATACCTGTAAATATTACATGTTAATAAAAAATTCAAAAAGACAAAATGTGAATGTGTGTGCTAAAACCCCTAATAATAAATAAATCTCTGACCCCAGCAATAACAACTTAGTGAGCATTTTCTATGTGAAAGACAGTTTTAAGTTATTTAGATGTATTAATTAATTTAATTATGACCTTGGTTACAAGCATTAACAGTAAAACGCAGGAAGACAAAGCTTGGCCTTTTCCACTCCAAACCCTTGAAAGTAAAAAATGGCTAGCTTGGAGGCACTTAAATTGCAAAGATACCCTTTAATTGTCGCAGCCCGTGGGGGGGGCGGGGCAGTCCCGCCCACTTCCAAGGAGCCGGCCTTCTCTCAGCGCCAGCCTTGGCTGGCGAGCGCGCGTCACGTGATGGTGACTGGCGGCACTCTGGCTTTTCCACAGCAGTCTCTATGGTATTCTTCCGAGCCCACCCGCCCCTTGGGTAGCAACAGTCATGTGACAGGCTCCGAGTTTACGGCAGGTTCCCACGTGATCCTGGCCTGCAGTCCGGTGGCTGCGGTGAGGTACCTGGGCTCCTGAAGGGCGGGCGGATAGGTCGTAACCGCCTCCGCTGGCGGATTCTACCCTGCGGCCAGTCTCTGCAGCAACCAGCCAGCTGAGGCATTCTCCGCTTAGTGCCTCCAGCAAGGCTCAGCTCTTTCTGCTTCCTCCGCCTTTGCTGTTCCCACGTCTTTGCGGTGAAGTCACCTTTGGGTTTCGAGAGCTTGGGGCGTGAGGCCCAAACTCAGGACAATAACCCCCCCACCCTTTTCTTTTCATCGTCTTCTTTCTTTCCACTACCGAATCACTTGGCCTTTGAGTTGGCCTGCTTGGCGGTGCCTTGAGACCAAGTTCGGGCGGTAAAGGTAACCGTGGGGAAAGCGGCCCCCCAGTGGACAAAGGCGGAGGCAAGAATAGAGCAGGCCTAAGAGCCGCAGGCTATGAGAATAGGCAGTTGAGTGGGTGAACGAGGAAAAAAAAAAAAACAGTACTGCGGCTTTGGAAGGCACTAGAAGGACTTGTTGCGCGATGGAAGAAGCTGACTCTGAGAAAAAGATGGAGAAGGAGAATCTGGGGCCAAGAATGGATCCTCCACTAGGGGAACCAGAAGGATCGCTTGGGTGGGTGAAGGTATTATGTCAAACCTGGAAGGGAGGGTGTTTTAATTGAAGACAGTATTGTGAATTAGAATTCCACACCGCCCACCTCCGCAGTGATAAATTTCTTCCGTTTACCAGTAGGGTTGATGGATATGGTTTTGAAAAGGGGACTGGTGCTAACTGAGCAGAAACAGTTTTTGGGATGGGATTGATACTACTGGTGTATTGGGGGTGGTGTTTTTAATCGAGTTACTGAATTGCTTTGAATTTTCAGTAAAGGCGATTTACCACCATGATGGGGATGATAAGAAGAGGAGAGGATTGACATTTCCTGGTCAGACTAGATGCTTTAGAGTGCTTTCTGTGCCAATTTGTACCTGAATTTGACACTTACATGTATTTTCTGCCTTTGATGAGTGAAATGCGGCTTAAATGGAAGGACCTTAAAAGCTGAAGGACCAAGGATATTTCCAGATTTTAAAAATACGAAGCTGCATTTTTAAAACATAGAGAATATTCAAATGTGAAGATACTGTTTTGTTAAAATACTCATATATGTTGCTTTGACTAATTTTTTAAGATATCAAAAATTGAATCTTGAATTTTAATGTCTCGTTTGTATTCCTAAATATATTTTTTTAGGAGCTATCTCTTGAGCTTGTGGATAGGGGACAGGGAGCATAAATGCAGTTTTATAATTTGTGAAAATGAGGGCCTCTACTCGAGTGAGCTTCCATACACAGCTAGACTCAACTGTTCTGTTGCATATACTCTTTTGCACCTTCACATTTGTTTGTATTTCTTTAATTTCAATTTCTAAGGCAATTGGATCACGGAAGCCCTGTTTTTTTGGTTTATATCTGCAGGTGGGTGCTACCAAATACAGCCATGAAGAAAAAGGTAAGATGTGTTGGGTGCATCAGAAACATGAAGGTAAAGGTACGAAGTTGCTAATCAGGAAATGTGTAGTGTGTGTACAAGGACATTACTGTCAGATTTATTTTTTCAGTGTATAAATCTAATTGGGCCAACCCATGTACACATATTACATAGACCTCTGCCTGAGCATTTATTTTCAACCCAAATCAAATGTTACCACTACAAAGTCTTACATGAATTTTCTGACTGGAATTGGATGCCCTTTCCTTTGTGCGTTTATAGTGCTGTACCCTGTCTTGGAGTTTAGTCAGAATCAATAAGGATGCAGTTCTGGAGCAAATTTCTTAAACTTTTTGGGGTTTCAATGGCTTCATTTGTAAAATGGTGGTAATATTACTTATCTTATATTTCTTACCTGTCTTGTAAACTTTAAATGAATAAATTTCTGTAGAGCACTTAGATTAGTACCTAACATCATGAGGCTTGGCCTTTCATAAGCAATTGAAGTAAGACCCTATTTTATTTTAAAAAATGTATTTAACCTTAATTTCATTAAATAGTTCAGTTCTGTACCTCAGATTTGCTAAAGAAATATTGTTGATCAACTTTTCTAAAGTTGTTATTAGCAAGGATGCCTAAAATGCCGGAAGTTTCTACGTGATTAAGGGCAAATACCAGATTGATACAATGTATACATGTATCAAAACATCACACTGTGCCTCACAAATATATCAAATTATTATTTTCCAGTTAAAATTTTTAAAAAGGACAAAGCCAAACTTTTCATACCAATTTTAGATTGGGTCAGTAGATGACATATCCTTAGTGAGGTAAAGTTATGTAGCTAAATTGTTAGATTGAATCAAGCCTTAGCACACTACATTTCCACTAACATTCCTTGTATTTGTAAATCAGAATTTTTAATAAGTTATCTTGGGATCAATTTCCTTGTCATGAAAAACTACCCAGCAACTTTGACAGTTCTCTCTGTGTTAAATGCTAATATTGGCAAGAAGGCTGTTTACTTTTATAAGACCCCACCTTCCCCTGAACAATTATCATTGTTAAAAACTCCTTTGGAGGCCAGCCCAGGCAAATAGTTTGAGAGACACCCCCCCTCTCAAATAACCAGAGCAAAATGGACTGGAAGCATACCAAAAGTGGTAGAGTGCCTGCTTTGCAAGCATGAAACCTTCAGTTCAAACCTTTTTCACCAAACTGTGAAAAAGCTATCTGTTTTGATAGCTTCATTCTTTTGATGAATGTATTTTGAACAGCCATTATACATTAGGCACTAGAAATGCAAAGGGGACTCTTCCTGCCCAGAGTCTTGTGAAAGACAGATTCCACAATGAATAACTGCAGTGCATTATAGTCTGCAGTGATCTAACAATGTCACAGGGCAACCTAAGTAAGAAACCTAAGTCAGCTGAAGGGATTAACATAAGAGAAAATTCTTGAGGAGATGATTACTGAGCCAAGTCTTGAAGGCTAAGTGAAATTTTCTTGAAAGAAGAAAAGACAATGGAACATTATTGGCAGAGAACAGCATGAAACAAAGACAGAGGCAGGACTCCCCAGAGGGCTGGGAGCAAGGGGACTACATACAAGCCATTGAGTTTGATGTGGCTGGATGCTAAAAGTTCCAGGCCAGAAGGTGCAGGAGATGAAGACAGAGAAGTAGATATGCTAGATCAAGGAAGGTCTTACATATTGTTTAAGGACTCGATCCTGTAGGCCATGGGAAGCTTTTAAAAATGAAGGGAGAGACCAACTAATTAATGGAACAAATCATAGGGTTAAGTGGAAGGGATGAAATCAAGGCAGAGGTGAAAAGGTTGACCTCAAGCAGAAGGGGCAAGAACTTTCAGTTTATATTAAAATCCCCTGTTAGGTAATTCAGTGCAGAAAACATTAGATTATGAGAGGACAGGGTTTAGTTTCCTTTCAAAATGGTATTTTTCTAACCTGCTTCTAAATATATTAATATTACATATTAACATAATTTCTATTGGCAAAATAATGTGTGACCTATGACATGTAAGTGCCTGGCTTCTGGAATGCTAGGTATATCTGGATTCAACATTGATTGGGGATCAGTTTAGTAGAGTTACAAGTATCTGTGTCTGGTTCTTGGTGCTGTCACTTCTGTTAAATGTCAAATATAGGAGAGAAATAGGTCCCTGTATACTAGATTTGCTCTAGATTGCTAACTTTTTTCTCCACTTTGTTCTTAGGTGCTGTTGATGGGTAAAAGTGGGTCTGGTAAGACCAGCATGAGGTCTATTATCTTTGCAAATTATATTGCCAGAGACACACGTCGCCTTGGTGCAACAAGTAAGATATTTTATTTTCTTGTAAAGTAAGGTGATCTTAACTGTTAATAATCTGTATAACACAGTTGCTTGTGGTAGCTTTCAGATGCAGAGGTTGAGGGATTTGCATTGGAGCAGTTTCCCCCTTCTGCATTCCTCCTCAGAGTGGTGTGGCTTAATTCTGGTTATTACTGTTAAATTCTCCTGGAGAGTTTATTTCCTTTCTAGGTTGCTTAGAAAGATGGTGCCCTTCTCTAACTTCTTGTTCCTGCAAGCATAGAGGGACCCATTTGCTTGTTCGTTTAGCGGGGAGAATGTTGCTTTTTAATTGTTATTATACAAAGGGAAAGTCACAGGTATTAAGCATATAATAAAATCTCCTAAGATTTTTTAAAGCAGTAGTTCTTGTCCTCATTAGAGGTAAACTATTATTAGAGGTAAAATGGTGAGGAGGAGGGAGGTTAACTGATCTATACTCTGCTACTTCTCTTTCTAGATACATATAGGTATTCCAGTTGGAAATTTCTGCTCTGACTTGGGAAATATCTTATTACCCTTCATGGTTAGTGTAGACTTGATGGGCCACCATAGCTGCCAGGATAGTGAAGCCAAGATCCTAGGAGAACCCTTCTGCCCCTGGGCTCTAATATCATTTCAATTTGCAGCATGCAACCATTTCTGGAGTATGCCCTGGTCCTTGGCTTCTAGGTGAGGAAGGCATTTCCTTACCTTGACTTCAGTCATTCCTCATCTGGTTTATAGCATCTTGAATACTTTTAGGGACAAGTCACTGTGTGCTCTATAAGGTGTTTAACTCTACCTTCAAAAATAATAAACATCATTTAAATATATTATGCTCCAGACCCTAGGATATAAAGGAGAAGTAAACATTATTTCTGGTCTTATGGGGCTTGGAGTATAGTATAGACTTCCATGATTGGGACAGCTTTGATGATTAGAAAGCTATTTCTTAGTAGAACCCTAAATCTATTTTCCTTTATTTCTGTTAGCCAGTTCTCATTCTGTTCTGTTAAGGCTCTGCAATTATTTGAGGATGCTCAGTGTCTCAATTTATACTAGTTATTTCCTGTCTCCCAAATCTTAAGTTAAACATTTCCAGTTCTTCTGTTTTTTTTTTTAATTTTACTTATTTATTTATTTGGTGGTACTGGGGTTTTAACTCAGGGCCTTGTACTTGCTAGGCAGGCAACCACTTAAGCCATGAACCCTAGCCCTTTTTTGCTTTAGTTATTTTTTGGATAGGGTCTTGTGCTTTTGCGTAGGACTAGTCTTGACCACAGTCTTCCTACCTAGGTCTCCTGTATAGATGGGATTACACCACACTGGCTTATTTTTTAGATGGGGTCTCACTAACATTTTGCCTGGACTGGGCTTTAGCCGTGATCCTCCTGATCTCCCCCTCCTAAGTAGCTGGGATTACAATTGTGAACCACCATACCTGGCCTCTATTCCTCATTTGACATAATTTTGAAGTATTTTTAAAGACTTGTTCAAACTTCTCTGCATTTTTGTTATGAGACTTGAATGCAGATGTGGTCTGATCTGGGCAGAGTGGGCCTATTACATCTCTTAGTCTGGACATTACATTGCTCTTAGCATGGTGTAACCCTTTTCTGGAGCAGCATTCTGGGTTATTGCTACTTTAAAACACATACCCTTCCAATTCTTTTGCAGCTAATATTTGAACCTATGCATATGTGCTTATTCATAGTAAATTATTCAGATTTGTTTTAGCCCATGATATATTTCTGTACCCTGTGTTTGTTGATTATGAAAGCCAGGGCAAGTCACTATCTCTTGGGCCTTAGTTGCCTTACCTATAGAAAATGGGTTGGATCCTATTTTCATTTTAACTATTTTTCATTTATTCTTTCATCTAATATATTAGCTGCCTTTTCTAGCTCTGTACAGATTGTACATTTGATAAATATTTCATCTAGTTTTTATCTAAGTCATTGGCCAAACATTTTGGTCAGGATAGTTTCCCATGACCTATCGTACCTGTAGAGTTGACATCAGGCCTGTGGAAAAGTCTACCCGCCCAAATTTCTTTCTGTCTTGACTTGACATAGTTAACATTTTTCTTTTCTTCCAGGTTAAATATCTGGGTCTAAAATATGTATGATTTTAGTAGATTAGAGGAAGTTAATGTTTTATTGAACTACTGTTATTTGCCAGATTTTTACATGCTGTATTATTTACTTAAGTCCTCATATTAATTTTTTTCTAATAGATGATGAAAGTATGACTTAGAAATTAATCTTACTTAGGTAGTAAGCATTAGAACTGAAATATAAACCATGCTCATCTTCTGTTTATTACATCATAGCCTCTGTAGCTTACATTACCCTTAATTCCTGGAAGAGTTCTTTTTCTTTATGGTTTAAATTCTGCACACTTTGTTGAAATGCCTTTTTTTAGTTCTAGTGATGTTCCATTGTTTTTTCCTGATTAGCAGAGTTGATTTATTATACCATGTTCAGTGAGGTTTCAGAACTAATCAAACTGCTTAATATAGTTTTGACATAATCTGGCAGCATCAATTTCCAACAATATTGAAAATTGACTGTATTCATTAGAGCCATTTATTAAACAAGTACATTTCTGAAGTTTCCTCTATGAGAGGCACTACTAATGTACAGGGCTGTTATGCTTAAGGATTTCTCAAGTAGGAACTTTAATGATATTACTTAGTAATTACTGTTTCTTTAAAGGTAGTAAAAATATACTTAAAACTGTTATGTTGGCATTAAGGCATTAGTGTATCATCATTAGCTAGTTTGTCATTGCTAAAGAAAGTTCTGGGTTTTATTGCTAAATGTATAGACTAGTTCAAACTATGTACAGTGCATTACTCAATACTCCTTTTATGCAGTTTGCTGATTTCCTGTAAAAGTAGTAAAAGAGTAATTCTTTAAAAATATTATTTGACTTTGATGTTTTAGTGTTTTCCTAGTTTGTCATTCCTGAAAAAAGTCCAGTTTTACTTTGTTAAACTTAGAGCCTACTGTGTTTTGAAATTCAAAGAATAGAAATGTTGTTAATTTATTAGATGGGTGTTAAAATGTGTTTGTTGGAATAGTAAATTTGTCATTAAAATATGATTATGAAATATTTTACTCTCAAACACTGTTGACAGCTCCAAGATTTCCTACCTTCTCAAAATTCTCTTGGCTTTTATTTAATGCTTTATTGCACTGGTTTTCTTCCTTTATCTTTAACCATCCCTCCCTGCTATTTAAAAAAGATAATCTTTTTTGTGACATTTTCTTCTTTCTGTCCCATAAGTGTATATGATTCCCCAAAGCTGTTTTCTTGGTTCTTTTCAGTTGCTCTCATGACAACAGGGCAGGAAGATTAGGAGAAGCAAAGGGACATATAGGGAGCATGAGACTGAGAGAGAAGCAAGAAGTGGGGGTTTGATCATAAACTGCCTTATATGCCAAGTTAGGTAGTTTGAATTGAGTGTAGAGGACAGCCTCGTAGAGAGTTATGAACAGAAAAGTAACATGTCAGATTTATATTTTATCATTTCTAGCTAAAAATAAGTAATACTTATGAAAATTCAAACATTACAGAATGTAGAAAGTCTATTTTCTCCTTCACTGTTAGGTCAACTTCCTAGGGACAACCACCATTGGTAGTTTTGAGGTTATCTGATTCTTTCTTTTATGGGTGTGTACAGAGAGACATGTTCTTTTTTCTTTTAAAAGAATAATGGAATAAAAATTTGTAATGCAAAGTATAGAGTGAGGGGGACAAGAATAAAAACAGATTGGTCAGTAAAGAAGCTATTTTAGTAGACCACGTAAGAGATGGCAGGGGCTTGATTTGGGTTAGGGTGATAGTAGTAGATACAGTGAGAAGTTAATGAATTTGGGACATATTTAAGAGGTAGAGTCAATAGGACTTGCTGGTAGATTTGGAGAGAATGGTGAAAGAAAGAGAAGAATGAAGGATGAAATTAAGGTTTTGGCCTAGGTAACTGTTTAAATTCACTGAGATGCAGAAGACAAAGGGGCATAGAGTTTGAGAATAAAGGGGAAATGAATTATATTTGGATATGTTGAGTTTATGGTACTTGTATATTCAAGTGAAGATGTACAATATATGCAATAGGTAGGAGAGAAATCTATGCTAGAGCTACTTATTTATGAGTCATCAATATCCAAATGGTAAATAAAACAATAGGAATAGATTATCTTGCCTTGGGGAAGAATACGTAGATGAGAAGGCAGCCAAGGATGGAGTCCTGAAAAACTCTTAACATTTAAGGGACAGAAAGAAGAATAGCAGCCTGTGAGGGAGAGGATCTTCCAGAGAGTTTTTAGGTGATATCAGAGACCAAGAGAAGAAAAATGCTTTTGAGAAGAAGAGAGTAGTCAACAGTGTCATGCTGCAGAAAGTAAGACAAGGACTAAAAAGTCCACTGGATTTGGCTATGGGGCCATTGGTCACTTGAAAATATTTCCATGATATGGGAATAGAAACCAGATTTCTATCCCACGTGCCCCATATCTAAAAAGTCACTGAATCCTGTCACTTCTTTTGTTATTGTCTTTCCCTTTCTCAGTAGCACTTCTTTCCATTTTTTTTTAGTACTAGACCGTATACATAGTCTTCAAATTAATAGCAGTTTGAGCACCTACTCTCTCGTAGACTCTGTTGGAAATACAAAGACATGTAAGATATGATTCCTTTTCCAAGGAGGGGGAAGTAAAGGGGAGAAGGGAAGTAGTTTGAGCACCTACTATGTGCCAGGCACTTTATGTATAACTCATTGAAACCTCACAGCAATTCTGTGAGGTCAATACTATGCCCCTTTTTTCTTTTTAAAATAGAAGTGGAAGCTAATACTTAGAGCTTAAATGATTTTCTCAAAGTCACAAGAGGTAGAAATGGCATTTGAACTAAGGTCTTTTTGACCCCAAAGTGTGTATGCTTTATTTTATAATGCTTTGCTGTCTAGGATCTAGAGCATGATAGGATAAAAAAAATTGCACAAAAGTTAGATAGTAGTCAGTTTAAGGAATAGTTTTGAGGTAGTCATAGAAGAAATGCTACTATGTGATTAATTTGACAATTGCATAAATTATATGGGTGGTAATTGCTAAACTTTGAGAAATTTTGGGGATAAAAATTTTTATTATTCTTCCTTGGGATTCTTGGTGCCTGGCAGAGAGTAGATGCTTAATAAATGTTTGAATTAATTCAGAGGGAGAGATGACGGTAAGTGGGGTTTTCCAGGCAGAGCTTTTAGAGGAGGTGGGATTTAGTCTGGGTCTTAAAAGATAAATGCAACTTTGAAAAGAAAATGGGGAGGGCTTTCATATGGAAGGACAGAGTAGGCTAGGATTGGGGGAGGGAAGTGTAAGGCAGAGGTCGCAAACAGGCAGCAGTATGCTGGAGATGTGTTTTGTTTGGCCTATACATTGTTTTTGAAAAATTGGAATTAGTTATCACATGTAAAAGTTTCCATAAAAATCTGGATTTCCCACTGCTATTAAAAAATTTAAAGACCTGGTAACCCCTAGCAAACATTTTTGCATAACAATTGAACAAGAGCTGAATAACTGCCGTCCAGTCTACCATTCCATATGTGGCCAGCTTTGATGGTGTATGTTTGCTGACCTGGCCCTTGTTAGCAAGTTTGCGACCACTGATATGTAAAGTGTGTTGGGGGTTGGGGAGGTATGGGGGGTTGGGAGGACTGTGAAAAAAAATAAATTGGGCTGGAGTAAAAGGCTATGTTAATGTGAATTATTGGGGAATATAAAGGTAGATGGGAAGCCAAATTGTGAAGGACCTTGAACACCCCCTTTTAGGCATGGAAGAGCCATTGAAAGTGTTTTGAATGGGGAGTGATATGTTCAAAGTAGTGTTAAGAAGATGAGCCTGACAGTAGCCTATAGGATGATGTAAAGTGGGTAAAGGTTTCTTATTTGAAGCTCAGTTTGGAAGTCTTGTAGCATTTAAGCATGAGATAATAGGGCCTTGATAGTAGTGGGCTGTCAAATAAAAGAATGGAGTTGAATGAAATTAGAAAGGACTAGCAATGAATGAAATGTGGACAGAGGAGTCAAAATGGAAAAAAGTAGCATCATTAACTGAAAAGGAAAGTAAGACAGGAATTAGTTTTGTAATGTTTAATGTTTGTTTTGTGTTTGTTTTGTTTTTGTGGGAGAAGTTGGTGAGGGCAGGTGGAATAGGGAAAATCTATTAAATGGTATATGTCATTGTCTTACATGTTAAATTTTAACACTGATATTATAATTGGAGATTGTTTCTGCTCTGAGTATTAAACTACTAAAAAGTATAATGACCAATTCTGTAGCTCAGAGTAGTTTAGGTGCCCACTTTGACACTAAACCACATGACTAAGCTGAAAATCACCTTCTTGTTGTGGCTTTGAGCATTTCACTCCACTTTGGTCCTTCTAAATTCCAAGGGTTAGTACTTTGCTTATTTTGATTTTCACCTTGCTTGCTACAGTTATTAGATTTGTCACACTTGTCTTCCAGTTGATGTAGAACATTCTCATGTTCGATTTCTGGGAAACCTGGTTTTGAACCTGTGGGATTGCGGTGGGTAAGTACTTACTTGTTTGTGAAGCCAGTGGCAATAACCATGGCATCTAGTTTAATCAGCATGGCAAATATACCCAGGGTAACTATTATTTGTAATAGATACATTGGATAGAAATTACTTCATAATTGGTACTTGATTAAATAAAGATCTCTGAGTTTTGTGAAAATACCCTTTTATATGACATGTTTCAGTAGCTCTGATCCAAGCTCCATGTAGGTATGTGTAGTATGGGATAGATTATCCCCTCCTTTGCAGGAGCATAAATTAGATTTCTTTTTTTTTACTTTAATGAAACATTCAGTTTAATAGTGTATTCTTCAGTGCAACACAAATGAATAAAAAGATTTTAAGAAATTTCTCCATTGCTTATTTACTACTACACATAAACCGTTGAAAGCTTCCATGCACAATGATGGAATTTATGTAACACATCTGTTCATTTATGATGTCTTTATTTTTTTTTATTTATTTTTAAAAAAATTTTAATTTTATTCATATGTGCATACAATGTTTGGGTCATTTCTCGCCCCCGCCCCCACCCCCTCCCTTACACCCCCCCCCCACCGGGCAGAAACTATTTTGCCCTTATCTCTAATTTTGTTGAAGAGAGAGTATAAGCAGTAATAGGAAGGACCAAGGGTTTTTGCTAGTTGAGATA